TGACCCGAAAGGGTTAGTTAAAGTGCTTTCTGTTACAAAGGTTAGTTTAGCATGACAGGACAATTATTTTCGAATCATTTAAGTCATAAACTTTGACATTTTGTCTTGTAGTGTTTTGACCCGAAAGGTCACAAATACACAATTTCAACGATGTTTAGTGCGTTACAGTGTCACACACGGATGTTTGCCCAAGGATCTATTTATATCAATCGAAAGGCCGTTCTTTCGGCGCTCTCTCGGCAGAATTTCAGTAGTTTTAGAGATGGAGCACACTTGTTACACGACTGTTTGTAAGGCATACTTTTGCCGTTGAAAGTTATAGCTTTCAAGAAAAAAAATATCAAAAATCACAGACTGCGTGATTGATCTGTAATTTCATCACACAATAGTTTAGACATTGTTTGTCAAGGATTATGAGCTATCTTGGTTGTATAAACGAGTTTTCCTTCAAATTAGATCACTTCTTTCGGRCCAAAAATCAGCCGTGAAAWCGACAATTTCGACCATGTTTACTAATTTGCATATATCTCAAAAATAAAACGATATTTAGCTTAACCAAGTATACCAGGATTCTTAGGACACATTACCCTACCAAACATCAAAGTATGAGCCAAATCGATTTTTCAAGGTTTGCCACTTATTCTGATATTTGTTTGATTCTTACGGACAGCCACTCTTAAAAATTTGGTTTTGTGTGAAGAGGTTGATGTGATTTGGAAACTTATCCCCATGTCCCTTTATGAGCTACGATTTCTTCAACGTTTTTGCTAGATGGAGTGTGCACATGCTAAATATCAATATTAATTGGAAAATTAAGATTCCTGGTAAGATGGTCATCATAGACAACTTACTTAAGAATAGACTAATATATCAGAAGTTAGTTATGGGGAAGTTTGTTGTGCCGTCTTCTCAACGTTATTGGCAAACTAAACTGCATGAATACGACTGTTTAACTTGGAGTAGGTCTTACTCTTTGATAAACTCAACAGTAAGAGATACAAAATTAAGATGGTTCCAGTACAGAATTCTTATGAATTGCTTATATTTGAACAAAGATTTACATAGATTTAAATTTATTGAAAATGCTTGTTGCTCTCTTTGACATGCCGCGATAGATAACATAGAGCACTTGTTTGTTAAATGCATTTTTTGCTGATTATTTCGGCAAAACCAAACACCTTCCTTTCACATAGTGCGCACAGTATTGTGGCGGAGTTTATATGTAAATTTATAAACATGCCAGCCCTATCACATTTACAAACCAAGATGGCTGAACAACTTGTGCACGAAGCTACAGGGCAATGGAAGGTGGGAGACAGGGCTACAAATGAGCTGATGACATGACGTCATGATCAGTGGAGAGGAAGAATTCAAAAGCAACACAAACCAAGAAAAACATGTATATTTTCCCTGTGCCACTTACTTTGGCTTGGTCGACAAATGTACCATTGTTACTAATGTTGCACTCGGAATTGCGCAGAAGAAATACCAGATGAACTACTGACAGCGCGAGCAGTATTAGGTGGTTTCCTAAAGAAATCAAAGAACTAAAAAAAGTACAACAGGAACAATAAGAAAATGAACTGCAATCAGAACCGATAAAAAAGACTGCGTAAAAAAATAAGCTAAGGCTTACAGATCGATGGTGCTTTGCCATGGTGCCGACAAGTCTCAGGACTAGATCGGTTTTATATTTTTGGCATAAATATCTCGGAGATAATCAAAGAGTTGTTGTAGGTGAAAGATTTGTCACTCACTAAAACACTCACTTTCCAGTACACTGCCCTTGATACTATAGTAACCGAGGTAATATTTATTTTCATTATCACGGTCTTCCTGTCCATTTTTCTTTAATTAGCTATGCAAATTAAATTCACATTCCTAAAGTCCTGTTGAATCTCGATTTTCCCATACATCGCCATATCCCAGTGCCTTAAACCATTCGGCCACCACTTTGATGAAAACTCGCGTGTTTTAGTAGTTTCATAGGGAGCATAGCGAGTCCAGTTGAGGACAGAACACTTTTTTAGATGTTCTGGAGATGTTCTTTTCTTTTCTCATTTTTCTAATACTAACAAATATTTAATTTTTTACGTTTTATTTTTAAGAAATTCTTTTAATTTTTGAGATCAGTAAGTACATCAGGTTCATCATGATGTGTTTCCTGTTTCCTTGCTATTTGCCGAAAACAACCTGACCATCGCGGTACGATTCAAGAGGAGAAAAAATTGGGAAAATTATAATGTTGGCGTAGAATTGTACTGATTGCTGTTTTGACTGGGTTTTCGCTTCGAATACGTGTCAATATGTCGTTTCTGCTAAAATGTAGCTTTCGCGGCCTTATAAATAAAATTAAAGCAAATGAACAGTTTCTATTCCACTTTAGACCTCAATGTAAGATAATAAAGTACAAAACTTATAATAATATATTTAAATCTTAAGTTCATCATATGAATTACAGATCAACTTTTTAGGATGTGTCTACATGCCCGTGAGTATTCCATTGTTTTCAAATAATTTTTATAAGTAATACCTTGGAACGAGGGAAAATTAGTGTTTAAATTTCCCCGAAACCGAGGGAAAATTTGTGGAAGTGTTTGGAATTTGTGGACAAATTTTCCCGAAGTATCAGCTTTTGCTTCCGAAAGAGTACATTTCCCATCAAAAGAGACACTGCCCTTCCTAGTATCTCCCAGGAAAGACTCCAATTAATAAAAAGCACGATGTGCAGATGTTTGGAAGCATTCCCCTTAAAAACATCTCTAAGAAAGGAAGTATTCCATGTGTTGAGAGTGGAAAGTATACAATCATCAAAAGACGGAATGCAAAGCTTTGATTATAAGTCACCTCCACCTCTTCGCCATCTGATGCTCCATGTATGACTACCGTGGTAATGGAGAATTCACCCAGATGTTTTTGACTCTTTAGAAGCCACCAACTTCTATAATTGGTCAAATGGAGCTCCTTTCACTTGAGGAAATGCCTGGATCTTAGAGAATACATCTCTTATCACATAATTTCACATAATTTCCCGCCTTGTAGCAAAACCTTTTAATACGGCTGTTGTCAGATATTTCACTTCCGTTCACTGAAAAATTCACTTCCGTTTTTCATAATATGCTAATTACACAAAAACGTCACGGACATGCGCGACACGTTTCGAAACCCATGCGCTCAGCCGTCAAGGGAGAGAGTATCGCGGGCGCACGAAATCCCGACGGCTGGAGACCTAGCCTACAAGGAAAGCTGTTTCCCCTTATATGAGCAAGAGATTTGTCCTGATTGGCATATCACTTGGACTTGCATTTTCTCTTAAAGGGCTACTCGGACGAAAATTGCGAAACATTAGAAAAGACCCATCCATATGGGTGCAATAATCATGAAGCAACAGATTTCAAGAAAATATTGATGGAAATCCTTTTTAATACAAATTAAAATAATTTGGGCAAAAAATGTTGGATTAGATGACGTCATTTACTCAATCCTTTTGTTCTTCCATCTTTTAAATCAAAATTTCTCTGATGTGGATAATTCCAAGACAAATATTTTCCCGCAATTGTTTTTAATAAATATAAATGAGTCATATATTTGTATTGCTTGAAGTTTTGAAATACGCCTTGGGGAAAAAAATCATATCGTTAAATCGAGGTATCGTTGCACGGAGCTTCTCGATTTTACGATATTTATGTAAAAGTATCGTTAAATCGAGGTCCGGCATTGTAATGTATTTTTACTTGTAAATATTAAATACAGTAAACAAATTCTTCACAAATAGCTCAACCAGTTTAATTTGAATATCCACGACTGTCAAAGAATGTACAGTAACTAAAGCAATGTCAACAAAACTATTACAGGTACAGTACATGTACTGTATAATAACGCATTTTCAGTCCAGTTTATACAAATTCTTTGATTAGAGTTTGGCRCTTTCTATTTACGCTTAACAAAGTAAAGGTCTCTTCCATTCTGCTTAACGATAACAAAAACTCATGCTCTTTTTCACCTGACTCTGTTGACGACAGAAAACGAAATCCCTTAAGTTTCTTACATGTTCTGTCGCTTGTAGGGAACTAAGTATTTTGGGCGGTTCTACTATCTCGACCTCGTCTTCTTCGGATTCTACCTCACTACAATCGGCCCTAGACTCTGTGTCTTCTGTTGACTTAGCTGCCTCAAGTGCTTCTCTTGTAGCATCCTCGGCGGTCAGTTGCCTCTCTGTGAATAGATCGTCATCTACAGATGCAAACTCCCCAAAGGACATATCTGCAATCGAAGGATAGTGCCTTGCAAGCCGTTCCCAAATTGTATCACCTGTGTCACGACTTTCTGTACGATCAGTTGCAACATCCTCTTCATCAGACTCATCAGACGACTCAAATGGATCTTGAATGGACTCTGTAACTTCAGCTGGGAACTTTGCTTTTTTCCAACAATTTTGTATGGTAGT